ACTTCAGGGTGTACCTGCTGCAGCATGGACTTACCCGTAGCCACAGATGCTCCAAGGTCTACCTTTTCCAGCCTGGACTTAATTTTGGCCCACAATCCCTTCGGAGGTATACCTGCTGCAGCGTAGATATAACAGACATTAGATTAGATATTAGGAAGAAGCTCTTCACTGTGAGGGTAGTGGGGCACCGGAACAGGTTGCCCAGAGAAGCTGTGGATGCCCCATTCCTGGAAGTGTTCCAGGCCAGGTTGGCTGGGGCTTTGAGCAACCTGGTCTAGTGGAAGGTGTCCCTGCCCATGGCAAAGGGGTTAGGACTGTATGATCTTTAAGGTCCTTTCCAGCCCAAAGTGTTCTATGATTCTATGATAATGACAGCCACAGACACTTCGAGATGTACCTGCTCTGGCGTGGGCTTATCAACGGCCACAGATGTTTCAGGGTGTCCTGCTCCCACATGGACTCACCCACAGCTCACAGTCCCTTCAACAGGTTCACGCTGGAGTTCCAGCCTGTCCAGTACAGCAGCGATGCCCTGGCCATCTGCCAGCCCAGGCACATTGCCATTACTGTTATCAAAATATTCCCAGGAACAGCAGAATAAGATGATAAGCAGTACAGCATGCAGTAAAAGCAAAAAGCAGCCACTAATGAGCATGAGACTCTAATATACAGTAGGGCAAGCAAGTCCCATGGCAAGCACAGGAGCCTGGCGATTAATAGCTTAAGAGCTATTAATTTGATCTAGCACATTCCAGTCAAACCTGTTATCTTGAACCCTTTGAGCCCCATATTGGGTGCCAAAAAGGACTGTTGTGGTTTAACTCCAGCTGGCAACTAAGCACCACACAGCTGCTTGCTCACTCCTCCCTGGTGGGATGGGGGAGAGAATCAGAGGAGTGAAAGTGAGAAAACTCAAGAACTGAGATAAAGACAGTTTAATAGGTAAAGCAAAAGTCACATGTGCAAGCAAAGCAAAACAAGGAATTCATTTACTCCTTCCCATGGGCAGGCAGGTGTTCAGCCATCTCGAGGAAAGCAGGGCTCCGTCACACATAATGGTTACTTGGGAAGACAAACGTCATCACTCTGAACGTCCTCCCCTTCCTTCTTCCCCCAGCTGTGTACGCTGAGTGTGACATCATATGGTACAGAATATCCCTTGGGTCAGTTGGGGTCAGCTGTCCTGGCTGTGTCCCCTCTCAACGCCTTGTGCACCCCCAGCCTCCTCGCTGGTGGGGTGGGCTGAGGAGCAGAAAAGGCCTTGACTCTGTGTAAGCCCTGCTCAGCAATAACAAAAACATCCCTGAATTACCAACAGTGTTTTCAGCACAAATCCAAAACACAGCCCCATACCAGCTACTGTGAAGAAAATTAACCCCCTCCCAGCCAAAACCAGCACAGTCTTTTGTAGAGGTATAGTCATCTCTAATAAACTATGGTGTGCGTTTAATGGCATACAACAGGAAAAGGTGAAAAAGAATTATTTCCTTTTCAACTTCACAGTTTATAAATATGCAGACTTGTCAGGAATGTCAGGTAAATTAGGGAAGTATCCCTTTTGAAGTTGTGCTGTGATGCAACAAGTACAGAGTTGAGATCCTTAGTGACTCTTAGGTTGGTCAGTTTACTAAAGATGCAGAGCTGCATGTTTAATGAATAATTATGTGCCTGGGATCTTAGCGCTTAAAAATAATCACACATCCTAGCAATGCAAGCCATGTTCCAACATTTAAATTTGATCAGACTTTTCTTTTTTCTTCTATACAGGAGCATTGCTAAGAATCCAAGTTTGATGCGACTAAATCTCTGTGGATGCTCTGGGTTTTCTGCCGAAGCCTTGGAGCTGATGTTGAGCAACTGTTCTATGTAAGGCAAAAATAGTTTTTGCTATTCCTGCTTACTATTTGCTATTCCTGAGAAAAAGGATCCTTTTTTATTTTTTTCCATAGGCATTCCAATTGTACTTGTCTCTAATATCTTTTTTTATGAGCCTGTTTCTGTTCCTAAATGCCAAACAGTTCATAATTAGCTGAATAGTCAGATAGTTTCTTTCTATCAAGCTATTTTCTTTTTTAATAGCAAAGATGTACTTCAGTAGTTTTTCATGAGTTTCCTTATTCATCCTTAAAGGAAGTCTTATTGGCGGGTAAACCCCATTTATGTTCCTTTGATATATTGTAAATTTAATTTTCTTAAGAAGTATGTAATCCTCACAAAGTGAAAGAGTG